TTTTTTTTTCAAAAATGTATTGCTGGTAATATTTTTTTCCAAAAATGTATTGCTGGTAATATTTTTTTCAAAAATGTATTGCTGGTAATATTTTTTTTTTCAAAAATGTATTGATGGTAATATTTTTTTTTCAAAAATGTATTGATGGTAATATATTTTTTTCAAAAATGTATTGCTAGTAATATTTTTTTTCAAAAATGTATTGATGGTAATATTTTTTTTCAAAAATGTATTGATGGTAATATTTTTTTTCAAAAATGTATATATTGCTGGTAATATTTTTTTACAAAGTATATCTGGTATTAAAACCTATTTTCACACTTTGATATTGTTTTGATCCAGTTTGGGGTTAACTATTTACCCGTAGCTGGGACCCTAACCAGTGCTACTACTCCGGGCCAGTGTAAACCTGGGAACACCAGCAATTAAGAGGTGGTTCCACGCTCCTCAAAATTATTTATTTAGTTTATCGTCTTACCCAGGATGGGGATGTAGTTTATCGTCATACCCAGGACGGCATAGATTTGGATTCAAAACACTGTCAACATTACATGATCAATGTACACAGAAATTAGATATATATTTTGTTGAAGGGACAGTGCCGAAATAACTAAATAGAGGAAGAAACACAAATAAAATGACAAGTAATTACAGGCCTATAAAGTCTTTACCTTTGATTTGAAACATTGTTACTGAATAAACAGCAAAAAAATAATAAAAATCAGTCATTCATTATTGAGTCAAGGTCACCTACTAGAGGGAAAAACGATAAAAAGATACAAAGCAATACAAATATCTTAAATAGAAGAAGAAAAAAAGCAAATAGAATAATGACAGTTGGATCGATTGATTACAAAATCTCCCACGATGTAATCCTGTTTATACGTAAATCTGGGAATGAATATTTAAAGAAAAAAATAGTGAATTTCATCTCTTATAAAATGAAAAATGGACAGCAGATGTGATTGTCTATTACTGAGATTAAACTAAAAATACTGCAGAAGGTTTCATTAGCCTTACTTCTAGCTACAATAAATATGTTACCAGTGAAGAACTAAAAAGGAAAAGTAGAATTTATCGCAGATGAATACTTGTTTTCTTCTGCTTATTAACTTTTTGCAGGTTATTTAAAGCAATAAAATATTTGTAGGTTATAAGAATTGGGGTGGGGCTAGATAATAATGATTTAATTATAGAAGTGTTGTGGATTCCGGGATGAAATCCGGTCTCAAATGAACGACAAACGCAGGAATGAAATATAGCAGATAAATGTATTGACGTAATAATACAATTGGTTAGTAGATGCAGAAATGCGGTTAGTAGCAATAACAATATATATACAGTCTGGGAAATTCAGTATCGAAGTATGTCTTCCTTCTGAGTTTACGTGCTCGCAACTGTGACTCCTACAAAGCGGTTACCTCACACTCTCACTCTTTCACTGTATCCCTGTCTGACTCCCGGGTATTCACCGGCAGCAGTACAAGTACACACTGGGCAAGTTCATTTGTATAAAAAGGGGTGGACCCCTTAACAACAAGTCTTACTAATTAACCCATAAATGGAAGGAGAAGAAGTGGATTAATAGCTTTCCCAAAGTTATTTGCGCGTAAGTAAATATAACGAACCCGACTGGAATTGAAACTCGGCTCTTAATAATAATTCCGAGTCGTTATCCATTACGTCACCCGCACATCCGAGCTTACAGCACTTGGTATTCCCAGGCGGTCACTTAATGTTGCTTAACTTCGATGATCGTACAGGAACCGGTGTTTCAACGTGATATGGCCGTAAGCCACAGATGAATAGTTACGATTAAAATTTACACGGAAGACAAAGTGAAAACGGAACCAATTATCATTTAATCTCAAAACAAAGGCATAATTACGGATTAATATCAAAGTGAAAACAGACAACATCTGGAAAATAGAGAATGATGACTATAAAAAATAAAACGAAACTCCAAACCCCATTTATAACCATTATATCAAATTGGCTTAAATAGAACAACAGATTGTGTAGAGTGATACACTGGAAACTGTGCAAAACATTTAGGTTCAGCTATATAAACATATTTGCTATGAACATGTTCTTTCAAGAAATATTGTATAAAAATGCTATGTTTATAGCATTTTATACAATATTTCTTGAAATAACATGTTCATAGCACCTATGTTTATATAGCTGAACCCAAAAAGAGAATCTGAACCTATAAATAGAATATGTTTATACAGCTGAACCCAAATAGAGAATCTGAACCTATAAATAGAATATGTTTATACAGCTGGACGCAAAAAGAAAATCTCAGAAAATAAAAAAAAGATGATCTGGATGGTTAGCAAATATTTTCCCTCAACTTGTAATCCCCTGCAAAAAACTATAAAATTTAACTATGTAAACGACTCTCATATTTTCAATATATCATCTTCAAGAAAAGGTACATAAAAGATTTATTTACAAGTCGAAAATATATTATAGTTTATGGATGCCTTTGTCTTTTGTAGGACAGTGTATATTCACCGTTACTTGCTTGAACTTATTTCCACTTATCGGTCTGGTCTTCGTTTTCGGTAAAAGGTTTTGATGCGAATGACTTTTCGACGATCTCTTGAATGTTTATTTTTTTATTTGTTTTTACCATAAAAGCTTATTAATTATAGAATTAATGGGAAAAGGTAACAAGTGGTTGGTGTAAGGTAAATATGGTATTTAAGAGGAAACAAATCAATTTAGTCCCAAGTTTTTTTCTTTGCATTGAACGCCCCCAAAACAAAACTGATCTCTTTTATTCGTCTGAGAGAAACTTTTTTGCCTTCCATCACTATGGTCGATGCTAACCTCCAGGAGAATGACACTTTGCACCTTCTAGAGCTGACAATTTTTTGCTGATATGAAGTGGAAAGATGATATTGAATCATTTCCTAGGTCTGCTAGTATGAAATTTTTTTCATTCTTTCGTACTAGACAAATTTTCTCTTCGGAATCTATCTTATATATTTATAAGTCTACCATTTATAAATGCATTGAACATTGCTGTCACATCTGGTCTGGTGCTTCTGGTATGCATTCAGGGATTCTAGATAAAATCCAAAGAAGATTTTGCAATTTTATCAGTCTTAACCACGACCGTATAGCTTCACTGTGCTTCTATAAACATTTTAATGGTAATTCTTCTGATGAGCTTTCCGCTTTGGTATCTTGATTTTATGGATTTAAGCATAGTACTATATAAGCAGCTAGGACTCATCATTTTACAGTTGAAATTCCTAGATGTAAATATAATGCTAAGAGTTTCTTCTCTGGCATTTCTCACTTGTGAAACTCTCTTCCAACTTTTTGTTTCCCATTCAACTTTGATCTTCTAAGATTTAAATATCAGATAAATCATAATAACTATTAAAAAGTTACATTATATTAGAGCTTAATTTGTAATTAGCAAGACATTAATTTGAGAAATCTTCAAAAATTTAAATGTAATGCCAACCTCTATCTTTATTAGTTTCTGTTATTTTATTGTTTTATCCCCATTATTATGTTTTCTTTTTCTCATGTTCTTTCCTTTGCTTGAGAAAAATGATGTAAAATAAATTGTCATGGGGGAGAAAAAGGTTTTTCTATTATTCCAATGTGCACGCTACCACGGAAATTACTATGATAATTTATTCTTAATTGACACATATGATTAGTAGTTATTCATTATTACAATTTGTTCCCCGAAATGGAAATTACTTATAACTCAACCTAATATTATCAAAATAATATCAACGAAGATTAGAGGGTTAAGTATCATTGCGGGAAATATATTAAAAAAAAAAAATTCCTAGGAATAGACGGTATCTATACGGATATAAAATGAAATAAAAAAGTTGACAAAAATAGTCCTACCGGGTTTATTTATTATTTTTGAATACATTCTTAACAACATAATATATGCAGGTGACATTGTCCTCATAGCATACATCGAAAGAAAACTGAAAATATTTTTTTTTAAAATTGTAAAAGAAAACGCAAAGAAAGGACTAGCTATTAATTGTAAGAAGACGGAAGTATGGTTATCAACAAGAGGAACAAGCCCCGAAGCAAGCATCAAAATTAAGCAACAGACGATGTAAAAATGTAATACTGAAAATCGAATATGAATTGGGATAGTGAAAGATGCTTTCTAAAAGCTAAACAAAGTATTAAGAAACAGGAAAATTTTGATGGGAACAAAGAAAATAGTGCTGGACTGTTACGTAATATAAATCCTCCTATATGGCTTTGAATACTGAACAATCTCCTCACACATGTACAACAGAAGCAACAGAAATGTGGTTCTACAGAAGGATGCTGAGAATACCATGGATCGAACATGTGAGCAACAACTAAAAAATGAAAATGGAAACAAAAAGGAAACTTCTACTTAACATCAGAAAGAGACAGTTTAAATTTTTAGGTCACATAATGAGAAAAGCGGGCTTTGGAAATTTGATACTCACAGGGCAAACTGAAGGCAAGAAGAAAACAACGCATAACCTACCTAGTGAATAAATGGATAACGGAAAAGGGTTTAGGAAAAATAACAAAAACACAAAAAATATCTAGAGCTACAAAGGGTGGGAAATTGTGGAGAGCCATGATATCTAACGTCCTGAAGGAACACTATATATAGAAGGAGAATCTATAACTAAAATTTATGATATTCATACATAACATACTAATATTAAAAATAATTACACATCCAGTAATGACTATTGACATAATACCAACAATACCCATAATAATTATATTAATGACAAGATGACGATTATGATCAGCATTATTATGATCATTTTGGTTATGATGGTAATGACGATAATTTCGCTGTTTGACTTCAGAAACAAGCGAGTTAGCGTTGCCGGAAGCAAAATTTCGACTAGGGAGAGAAGAAACACTATATTTGCAAAACAACAACTGTTCCCGTAAATAGGAAGGGAGTGTTTTCACGTACCACCAATAAGCTGCTTTTCGGAAAAAGAAGTCTAGTTAAGCACTTGAAGAGAATTAATGGAAAGACGACGCGCATCTTTTGTCTTGCCAGTGGGGTACATTAAAGAAGAATCAGTAACGTATGGACGAAAAGCGTAAAGACGACGTGTTTCGTATAACGTTTTGGACACACCGACAATATTCTCGATAGCTGTCCCATTGTTCTGCGAGACAGGATACTGTTTCCTTTTAAAAAAGAAGATAAAAAAGACAGAAAGAAAAGAACAAGAGAAGAAAAGGGTGATAAATGAAAGAGAGAGAGAGATACTGAGAAGAGAATGCGTAGGAAGAATAAGAAAAAACAACTATGAAGAAGAAAAAAAGGAATGGAAAATAACTGATTGAAATTGTGCAAAAAGGAAGACGACGTAAAGATAGAAAGTGAGAGAGAAAAAAAAAGTGCGTATTGATTAATAATTAAATATGTTTATATATAAAGAGGTTGCTTCATAAAAAGAAAGGCAAACAATTGAAAAACATTATACAACAAAGAAGTGTAAACGGGAAAAAGAAAGATAAGAGAAAAATGTTATAAAATGGTGGTGATGTAGAAAACAGACAGACAAATAGACAAACGGGCATAGATAGATATATAGATAGATATGAACAGACTTAGATAGATAGATAGATAGATAGATAGATAGATAATGAACAACCTAAGATAGATAGATAGATAGATAGATAGATAGATAGATAGATAGATAGATAGATATGAACAGACTGAGATAGATAGATAGATAGACAGATACATACATACATACATACATACATATATGGGTAGATAGATTGAAAAAAGGAAGGAATTAAGTCGGGAAGGAAGGATGGAATGATTAGAAGAAAATGCTGAGAAGAAACAGAATTAATAATGAAAGGAAATAAAGACAAAGGAAAGAAACGTGCTGAAAGGAATTAAAATGGAGAAAAATTGATAGAAAATAGAGAAAATTAAAGAACATTTATATATATATATATGCATAGAAAAGAAAAAAGAAGAGAGAAGTTAAAGAAGAAAAAAATAAGAAAGCGATAGTTGTGTAGGAGCAATAACAACTAGCGTATAAAAACGAGGAAATAAAATAAATGTCAGGAATAAGAATGTAGAAGAAAAAATAGATACAAGAAAGTTAATGCAAGTAACGAAAAAAAGCGAAGGTATTCCCTTGTGACAAATGAAAGACAAGCACTATTTAGTGTATGATGATACATAGGGGATACTTTTACCGAAGCGCCGGAAACATTTATCCGCTCTTCTCAATCCTACCCACATTTTTTACATGGCTTATTCCAAAGTACTGCCAATGATTCCCGTATCAAAATATGATACTTATTTACCCTTTTAGGCTCGCTTTTTGACGATTTCTTTCTTTTTTTCTTCTTTCTTTCTTTCTTTCTTTCTTTCTTTCTTTCTTTCTTTCTTTCTTTCTTTCTTCAATACTTCTCATTCACTGCAGCAGATGTTAAGTGACTGATAACTTTCTTTATTTTTCTTTCTTTCTTTCTTTCTTTCTTTCTTTCTTTCTTTCTTTCTTTCTTTCTTTCTTTCTTCAATACTTCTCATTCACTGCAGCAGATGTTAAGTGACTGATAAATTTCTTTCTTTTTCTTTCTTTCTTTCTTTCTTTCT